AACTTCTTCTATTCTTGAACACTTGATGGTTATCTAATCAAAATAAAAGTACAGGGCTGAGTCTAGGAGAACTCACCGGTATCACACACACTCAGCAGCGCTCTAAAACTGTTTATTTAATCACCAAACAGACACAAGTTTACTTCAAGAATGAACAATGAGGCATAGATGAGTTTGAAGTTCAGTGTTTAAAAAACGGAGCAAATGCAAAGAGAAAGCGTGACCTATATTATAGCTCTATAAATGAAGCACACAGACTTTATTAGAGCCACAGAAAGACAAACGTTTTGCTGAAAATGCACAATACACAATTCATTATGTACATTAACAACGATTCGGGACCAATATAATGTAATTTAAAGGAAAACTATGTGAATGGCGCTCTGTGGCGCGGCAGGATTTTCTGTCGGCTGCATTTAAATCCGCGTCTGAAGTTTCCCGCTCTGTTCAGCGTGCAGTATCACGTGTCTAAACAAATAGCACGTGCTGTCAGTGATTTCAACCACTAGAGGCCGCTCTCGCACTGTGTAATGACAGCAGACCCTTCTCAGCCGCTCCAGCAACGGACGCAACCCGGAAAACTATCGGCATGGATTTTTGCCGATAACCGATAGTTACAGCAATCAACTATCGGTGCCGATTAATCGGCAAAACCGATACATCGGTCGACCTCCAATAAAAACAAGTGCAAAAAGTGTACAAAACTCATGTGCAATGCATATGAAACATGTTCATGGTGTGAATGTGTGAAACCCATGTGATCTCATTGGCATTGTGTTGTTCCTCCTCCGGTCAGGTGATGGCGATAGCGACTCTGTCGGCATGCTACAACAATCCTCAGGTGTTTCAGGGTGTGGTGAAGATCCGGAAGGGTCAGGCGGTGACGCTCATGATGCAGGCCACAAACATGGGTGCAGTCCAGAGCATCATCGCGCAGTACAGTCAGGAGGTGCGTCCTATAACATGCTCCGCTGTCCTCCGTAGCGCAGCCGTCTGCTCTGCTCATCCTGATCCCTCCTCTCCTCACAGATCCTGCAGAAAGTGTCCGGCACGGATCCGTCCCGAGAGAAGACGCTGAGTATCCTAAGCCTCATCCACGAGAAGAGCCTGTCTCCAGCCGCGCTGTCGTCCCGAGCGCACCACATCTCTCCCGTCTACGTCTCGGCCGCCATGCTGTTAGCGGCGCTCAGCTGGCAGTATCTGAACGCCACAAGCGGCCAGCCACCGAGGGGCGCCGATATGCAGCCACACTGAGACCCAAAGCAGCCCAGAACTCTCTCTGCCAAACCACAGCACGAGTCTGGGATCTTTAGGGTTCTTTCTGTTTCACTAAAAGTCCTTCAGGTCATTTTCACCCCAAAATCAAATGAGAAAATGATAAGAAATATAAAAAAAAGAAGAAAAAAATAAATACATATATATAATTTTTTTTCATATTTTCTTTCTAGAGAGAGAGAGAGAGAGAGAAAAGTATAAGAATATATATATATGTGTGTATATATTTTTTTCATGAATTTAATTGTTTTTTATATATGTAATATATAAAAAAGTGTAT